AGAGTTCTATTTAGAAAGATGAGCCTATTGAAATGTGTATCTGTGGAAAATGTACTTTTATGTGTCTTCCTCTAGTCATGAGGACTGTATGTATTTCTTGCTAACGCAAGTGTAATTGTAGCAAAGTAAATGCGTTTCTGATGCTAATGCATCCAAATCCAGTCAACGATCTTAGCAACATTTATTACTGAGTAACTAAGAATACAATCTTATCTTACTCTCTGAAACCCGTGAGCTGAAGAGATGTGAGTCACAGAAAAAAAACAAGTGTGCTCTAATTAGCTTTAAAAAACAGGATTTGGGTGATTACGCATAAGGACATCAGTAATTCTGCATTATTCTTTCCTTCATTAGCTCAAACAGAATACTCTTTTTTCAGACAGAAATAAATAAATCAAAAATCGTCAACTGTAACAGTGTCAAGTAGAGTTAATGAACGAGTCAAATCATGCCATTTCTGATATGGTTAGAATCTATGGATTGGCTTGTTCGATGAGAAGCTGAAAAATAAAGTAAGATGAATGTCAGCAATAGAGGAGGAGCCAGCAGGCTCCGCCCTATCGGACTACTGATCTTTTTCAAGGTTACAAATTGTAATTATTGAAGGTAGCACCTTGTTTGGACTGGAGAGCTTCAAAATAGGCCAACATTCTTATTGGGATCCTTTTCTAAGAAGAAGTCTGCTTTGCTAATTCTGCAGGAAAAATGGGAATGGAACAGTTGTCCGCAGGGGCGGGACCTAATGACGGTAAACTCCACCCCATCCCATACATGTAAATGTCGTAATTTTTCGTGGGAAGCGTGGGAAACCATTGCTTGAAAGGGCAATCGTCTGTCGCATGAACAAGGGTGTATACTTTTTGCCCGGCGAACAACAAAAGAGAAACTATTACTTTGGAGAAAACGCAACTATGCAGTATAACCTACTTCCCACTTTTAAGCCAAACTTTGATTCAATTCTCTCCTGCTATTCAAAGAGTTTTAATAAAATCAGAAAATTTCTTTCACATTCCCCTCGAAAAAAAACACAGCATTACATTGTTGCTGACTAAATCCGGATTTCTACTATACTGCCTGTGAATTCCATAATTTTGTCCACAACATCCTACTGGCCACACTGCGATATATATGAGATAAAGTAAATACGGGTTGGTAGTAAGTCCTCTGATTGCAACTGTGTATAACCGAATTTTTTCCACTATTAGAACACCAACTGAACCTATGCAGGCCATTTGGAGCCAAGTGGAAACGTTCCAAACATTTATTTCACTGCCAGTATTTCTCATCTGAATCCCACAACCACAATGCCATAGTATTTCTATCCTATTCCACTATGTTGGACGAATATGTATCCTATTCATGTCTGCGGGAGGTCAACAATGGAAATGCCGTCAAAGCAGTATCTGCTGGCTCTTTCCTTCAAGAAAATTATGTTATCGAAG